ATATATATATATATTAATATTATATTATATAATTTTTATATATATATTTATTATATATATATTATATATATTATATAGCTATATATATATATTATATATTATATTAGAGATGAGAGAGAGAAGTAGAGAGAGAGAGAGAGAGAGAGAGAGAGAGAGAGAGAGAGAGAGAGAGAGAGAGAGAGAGAGAGTGAGTGAGTGAGTGAGTGAGTGAGTGAGTGAGTGAGTGATAGTGAGTGAGTGAGTGAGTGAGTGAGTGAGAAAGTGATTGAGAGAAAGTGAGTGAGTGAGTGAGAAAGTGAGTGAGTGAGTGAGAAAGTGAGTGAGAGTGAGAAAAGTGAGTGAGAGTAAGGAAAGTGAGTGAGAATGAGAAAGTGAGTGAGAGAGAGAGAGAAGAGAGAGAGAGAGAGAGAGAGAGAGAGAGAGAGAGAGAGAGAGAGAGAGAGAGAGAGAGAGAGAGAGAGAGAGAGAGAGGGGGGGGGGGGGCGGGTCGCGGTACATGCGTGTGTGTGTGTATCTATATGTATGTATAGAAGTAAATTACAAGTGTATGGTATGACACCAAGAGCTGTCAGATGATTATCAGGACGTGTTATTTTTGCTCACGCTTGTCAAGGACAGGGGCTCCCAACCTGGGAGCAATGGACCAATATGAAAAATATGATGTTTAATTAAACTGAATTTTATCTAGCCTATAGTATCTATATGCAATTATCTCTCACATAATAAATTGGAATCTTTCCATAGAGTGTTCTTTTCTATAGCTACTGACATGATTACACTATTCATAACTACATTAACAATAACATAATCTGAAAAGATGACAGTCACTGAATGGAACCATGGAGATTATTATATATTGGTCAGGGGCTACAGAATAAAAAAGTTAGGAAACAAAGGTCAAGATTACTGGTCCCTGGACTAGACTGCCTGCTGACTTCAAATATAATCCCACTTTATTCATGCAGAACATTGTAAAATACATTTATTGCCTTATTTTCAAGTAACTGTATGTACATGAGTTATAAAAAGGAATGTTCAATACTACAACATATGATATTTAGACAATACAGAATTTGCATATCACACTGGGGATGCATATGTATCAAGAGTGTATGAATTAATATGAATTAAGAGAAAGGGTTAAAATTAGTTGAAGAGCACTGGTACAAACTGTGACCTTGATTTCTTAAGATGAAAAACTACTTCATTTTATAAATATTTTTTTCATTTGTTAAGGAACTTGAGCACTATCTCATTGAATTCATCTGAATACCGTAAATGCAGATTATGTTTTCCCTTTTCCATTAGGATCAATCTGAAAAAAAAGTAAATAAAAAAAGTCAAATAGTTATCTGCTTCATTTACATTTTTTATTTCCTTTTTAGTTTTGTGACACTTTCTTTGGTGTATTATATTTTATGTCTTTAAGTGGATTTCATCTCTTCCTGCAGTTAACTACCAAATTTTGAACCTGAGAACTGCACACTTTTTTAATTGGCTATCCTCATAATGGGCAATAAATCACAAAACATATAAGTTCTATAAACAGATATTTCTGTTATTTAAGACAAAACTTTGTTATATGACTGAAATACCAACATCAAATACTGCATGATGCAGTTATCAGATTAAGGGCAATGTGTCACTATTCTGAGTATTTGTCAACATTTACCTCAGCAAAAGTAATCTACTTGCACCAGTGTTGCATTTCTCTGTAATACACAGTTTAGTTCTTGCACGAACCAGATGAAAGATCTCATAAAGCAAATGTTTATCTCTTCAGTACATAAACAAACCTATAACTTTTAGTTTAGTTTTCTTTTAGTTCCTAAACATTTCAAGTTCTCCTTTATTTTTCCAGCTCAACCTCAATAAGATAATTGCATAATAAACTGGATTACTGTAGTTATTAAAACAATACTGAAATCTTAGCATGAACATAAAGTTCACTTTAAATAATCTGCATGTTTAAACACTATTTTTTGAAACATGAAAGAACAATAACCAAAAATGATAAATAAAGTAACAACCAATAATAATATGAACTTGAAACCAATAAAAAAAAATATTACCTACTTACTCTGAGCCTTGGATATTTTCATGCAGATAATATGGGTGTTCAATGGGCACAACTGGATCTTGAAGGCCATGTACAATAAGGGTTGGACAAACTATGTTAGGAAGATCACTTTTACATAGATCTCCACCACGCTCACAGTAGATTCCGATATATGTGTCTACCCACGATTCCCATGCACTCTTGAAGTAATCTCTACCATAAATAGCCTCTAATGGTGTTCTCATTTTTGGAGACCAGTTGTCAACATCACGTAAATCTGGTAAAAGAAGGTAAAGTTCATTTATTCCTTGTGTATGTCCATTCTCTTACCTTACTATATATCCAGATTATAAAAGATTTTTAGGAAGTCAAACAAGATTCTATCAAAAAGTAAATGAGAATGAGAGTGAACAGCACAGACACATGTCTCAGCTTTATCACACAACAAAGATGTAAACAACTTCAATTTTTGGAAAGTTAAAATCACATCTTCACAAACATAACTGCAGATAATACAAAGTCATAATCTATTAAATGAAAGAACCATTAGTAATTCTTGTATGATAGAGTTATGTCTTGTATTTAAATCATGAAGCTAACAATATTCAACTAACCTTTGCAGATTTCTGTCTCTTCTTTAGTAACATATGCATTTGCTCCAAATATAACCATTTTTTCAACATGCTGTGGGAAGCCAGCTGCAAGCAACATGGCTGTAATACCCCCATCACTCCATCCAAGTAATGAATATTTCTTGTAACCAAGGTTCTGAAACATTGGTAACTCATCCCTCTTAATTTCTTACTAACATTTGTTTTTGTTTGTTTTGTTTTAACATTATATACATGGTAAAATAATCACTTAAAAACACTGAAATTCACTAATATCCCTTTTGCTACAAAATATGTAAACAAGACCTAAATAGAGTGACAGAAGCAAACGCTGACAGAGAGATGGACAAGACATGCCAGGAAAGAAGAAACTGGCGACTCACACCAGACTCTGGAGTATAGTCTACTCATTTGCCAAGGCTCTTTTAAGAAAAAATAATGAAGTGGTGTTGATGACTAAATTTCAATACAAGTTGTAAAATTGCAAACCATACATAAATACAGGCATTATGTATCAGCTGAACAAAACAAAATAAGACTTGGCAAAGTGAATACTCAAGAATCTGGGTTCAGTTGTCAATTTTTACTTTCCTATGACTGGACATAATATAGTTTGATCTATCTCTAGAATAAGACAGATATGCTGTTTGGGGGAACTATAGGAACCAAAGAACCAAGTGACAATTATGATCTAAGAAATTTGTAGAATATTATCATCTTGTAATAATATTAACCCTTTTATGGTAGGGTGGCAATGATTTTAGTTTATTAACTGTGTTTAAACATAAATGAATACATGAGTCCTTAGTCAATAAAGAGTTAATGACATTTCCTACTTATCTTACATGTTTACCTTCATGTTGATTGTTGGCAACATTCTTTTAAATCTTTATTGCTATTACTATTGATAACAAAATATAAATTATAATATCAATGATCATAACATCAAATGACGTGCATTCACTAAATCTACAGAGGATAATACATCTATGTAGCAGTAATGGGTTGATAACATTCTGAACTCAGCCTAGATAAACCTACTTTGGTTACATTTAACATGTAACAGAGAATTCAGACTAACTTTCATCATAACAGCAGCGATGGTGGCATCTGTGCGTAAAGAGTCAAAGTTAAAGTCTCTGTTTGGAGGCCTGCTTTTGCCATAGCCTGGAGGATCCCAAGCCACCAGGCGTAAATGCTTGCTGGGGAGGTTCTTCAACTGAGGACCAAAATCTGATTTGATAGTCCCTGTTTGAATTAAACACCAGTTCAGTATAGATGTCCCTCCACAAATAATTTCACATAACACTTTCTTCAAATAGATACACACACAAACATATATGTATATATATATAT